AGGACTCAGGAGACGCGGTGAAGCAAGCAAGTCAGTCAGTCAGCCAGTGGTGATCGCACCTTGTCATGAGACGTCTCAAGGCAGGAATAGGCTGGCTGGGACGAACAGTTGAGGAGACGTGGTGAAGCAAGCAAGCAAGTCAGTCACTCAGCCAGTGGTGATCGCACCTTGTCTTGAGACGTGGTGAAGCAAGCAAGTCCGCCCAGTCAACCAGTGCTGGACGCACCTTTGCCACGTCAAACTCCATGACGGGAAGCTTCCTGGCAGCTGGCTCCATGAGGTGGCGGAGGAACTTGGGCGCTCCGAAGGTGAGAGCATCCATGTCCTCCGATGCCACTCCGAACACCTGTTGCACAGGGTGGGGAAAAAGGAGGGGGGGGGGGGAGGAATTGTGATGAAGGTGAGCGCATCCATGTCCTCGATGCCACTCCGAACACCTGTTGCGCGGGGGAACAAAGGGGGGAAAGGAAAAGGGGGGGTTTTCTGGGTCGCCTCAAAGTCATTCCAAAAGTGAGAGCATCCATGTCCTCGGATGCCACTCCGAACACCTGTTGCGTGGGGGATAAAAATGGGTAGAAAAGAGAAGAAGGGGGGAAAATTTTGGGTCGCCTCAAAGTAATTTCAGAGATGTGTGCGTCCATGTCCTCACTGACCGCTCCAAACACCTGCTCGGAGGGGGGGAGGGGGGGAAAAAAGGGGAGAAGGGGGAGAGGGAGAAAAATTTTGGGTGGCAACAGAGTCATGTCGAATGTGAGTGTGCCAATGTCCTTAGATGCCCTTTGAGGCGCCTCAAAATGCAACAGAGTCCTGTCGAATGTGAGAGTGTCAATGTCCTTAGATGCCCCATGAATTTCAACACCCCGTGCAGCTGCCCTCTTGCCCTGGTCACCTTGCCCTGTTTCGCCAGGTTCGCACACTCCGCCTCTGCTTCATACGGAGCCTCCACCACAGGTTACCCCCATGAGGAGCAGCAGGCGGCGGCAGTCCTCCTTGTGCTGCCTGCTGCCCACTAGACCTGCTCACCTTGCCCTGCTTCGCTAAATTCGCGCACTCCGCCTCTGCTGCTGAGGGAGTCTCAACAACAGGCACGCCCATGAGGCGCAGCAGGCGGCGGCAGTCCTCCTTGTGCTGCCTGCTGCCCTCTAGCCCTTCCCTGCTGCCCTCTAGCCCTTCCCTGCTGCCCTCTAGCCCTTCCCTGCTGCCCAAAGAACCTGCTCACCTTGCCCTGCTTCGCCAGGTTCGCGCATTCCGCCTCTGCTTCTGACGGTGCCTCAACCACAGGTACACCCATGAGGCGCAGGAGGCGGCGGCAGTCCTCGTTGTGCTGCCGTGTGACCCGCACCGTGCGCTTGCTGTACTTCTCTATGTCCTCCGCCTTCCCCTCCTCCTTCGCCTCCTCTAACCCCTCCGTTGCGCCCTCTCTCCGAGAGTACCTGCGGGAGAGAGGTTGGGAGGTGAACGTGAGAGGTTTAGTGGTGAAATAAAGGGGTTGGAAGGTGAACGCGAGAGGTTGAGAGGTGATTTGAAGAGGTCCGGAGGGAAATCAAAGGGCTTGGAGGGGGCATTGGAGAGGCTGGGAAGCAGAGAAGCTGCAAGCTGCAGGACCTTAGCAGTGCAACAACAGGTGCGCGGAAGCACGAGGGCAGAAGGGGCTAGGCGGAAGGGTAAGGCGGAATGAGCAAGGCGGAATGAGCAAGGCGGAATGGGCAAGGCGGAAGCGTCAAGGCAGAAGGGGCACGGCGGAATGGGCAAGGTTGAAGGGGCAAGGCTCACCGCTTCTTGAGTTCTTCCCTCTTAAGGTCTGGTGGCTTGCCGTCAAACACATAGCTGCGGAATGAAGGATAAAGGGGGATTGTGTAGGGGGAGTGGAGGGGAAGCATGATTGCTGTAGGCAGTATCGTGCCAATTTGTGAAAGAAAAGAAGCGGGGGAAAGGGAAGATGGAGGCGAAATAGGGGGGCATGCGGGTATCTACTGCATGCATCGAGCTACAGACTGGTTGGTGCTTTAAAGGGCTTCAAAACATGTAGCCAGTGGTTCTAGTGAACCCGGTTAAGCAGTGTGACTTACACTGGTTTGAGTCCAGCCTCTAAGATCCGAATGGTCCGCGTGAACATTCCCTGCAGGTGACTGGCGGGACAGGCACGGAGCGGGGGGAACAGGAGAGGAGGGAGGAGAATTGGGGGAAGAGGAAAGGTAAGGAGAGGAGAGGGAGGAGAGGGGTCGGGAGAGGTATGGAGGAAAAGGGATGGCTTCATATAGTTTTTATGAGAGAAAAACCAAGAGGTGAGCAGGTTACCTCTGCCTCTTCACCCCGTCGCTTATGTTCAGCTGGTAACCCCCTTGTCTGGTAACGGCCTCACCTTGTGACTTCGCCCGCCTCGTTGGTGAGTGTTTCTGTGCCTTGTCTCCCCACCACGATCTGACGACACCAGGGGAAAGAGGTGAGGAGTACGGTGAGAAACGGCAGAGACGGTACCCGATGGAAGTCGCTGGGAAATGATAAACGCTACCAGGAACCAAAACAAAATTTCAGGGACTGTTCGACATTACATTATCGGGAACTGCTAGACGTTGTAAAGAACTGATAGACGGCACCAGGAACTGCGAGACGGTACCAGGAACTGCTAGACGGTACCAGGAACTGCTAGACGGTACCAGGAACTGCTAGATGTCTCCAGGAACTGCTAGACGTCACCAGGAACTGCTAGACGTCACCAGGAACTGCTAGACATCACCAGGAACTTCTAGACGTCACCAGGAACTGCTAGACGTCACCAGGAACTGCTAGACGTCACCAGGAACTGCTAGACGTCACCAGGAACTGCTAGACGTCACCAGGAACTGCTAGACGTCACCAGGAACTGCTAGACGTCACCAGGAACTGGTAGATGCTCATGCTGGCGTCAATGGCGATCTTGCGGCCGAAGTAGCTCTCCAGCTTCTGCTCCCTCATACACCCCGGCGCGTTGTCCGCTAACAGCTTCGTCAATCCCTGAACGCCACATGGCAGACAGACGGGCACGCGGGTCGACATGCAGCAATCATGAGTATATCAATGTTACATGTAGCGATGTGAAGAGCGTGTAGCGGATGAATCAGAAGCTAATACCGGAAATGAGTGATGGATGCATGACAGGTGGTGGATGTATCTGAAACGATGCATGTGCGACGCGATGAATGAATTGGACGCGACGTCTTCAACGGCTAGTGCAGCTGAATGATAAGGTCCGATACTGTCCAACGCCGCTTACTTTAATTCCCATGGCGACAGGGTATGCTCAACTAGTCTGGTGATTGGTAACGGTCACTGAAGAATGGTTTCGCGCACGAATGCAGTTTCTGCAGGCACTCCACGATACCTTGATCGCTATTCGGCCGAAAAACTCATGAAACTGGGAGTTCTGTCACTGAAGAAAGGTATGTGGGTATTGGAGGCTTCTTGCAGGCGGCAGCAGTATTGAATGTTTGAATTTGTACCCGCTACGAAGCAACTGTTTTAAACATATGGAGCTTCAGAATGCCAGCGAATGTGTTGATTTGCACAAGGTAATATTGAAGACTCAGAAAGTAAACAACCCATACCAAAACCAAGCATTTCAATTCCTGCCCAGGTTGGTGGCGCTAGCGCTTGAAGATATGGTTTGCTTGCCTGCCACACAGCATTCTTGCAGGCAAGGACGTAATTTGTGAATCGACGACCCTGACTGCTCCTTGAAACGTTCTGGCCGTTTTCAGCCACTCGATGTACACAAAGCACGCTAGTGGCCGTAGTTGTCCCCCCGACTAGTCTCGATTCTCGACATTCTCAAGATTTTCCTGCTCATTCCTCGCCAAGTGTACGCTAGGCCAAACCGCCGTGGATTGCATCATGTTCGACGTCGTGAAAACTCCCCTCATCCAAAGCACGCGGGTGGTATTTTCCACCCAAAACTGCTGTGGGGTTTCTGTCATCTGTTTGGCAAGCTACTAATCTCCCCGGAAGCACGTTCCTGTCCAATTTCAATACCAATGCTTGGCTAAACGCTCGATCTGGAGGGGTTCAATACAAGAGCAGAGGCTAATGCTAAGTGTACCCCGAGAGAACCTCCTCCACAAACCGGCTCTCTGTTTTGAACAGCAGCACTGCTCTCACAAGCGTCCATCATCCACAACCTTTCATCCATGGCTTCACCATGCTGGTAGATAGGCCTTCCTATTAGCTTGGGACCATGGCCGGACTTTGCTGGCGTCAGTCAGCCTCATCCCTCTCAGGCCGTCATTATCGCATGCATTAACGCCCTATTTTTTTGCCACCTATTGGGGGAAGCAGTGTGACCGGAACACCATCAATGTCAGTCAGCCTCCTCCCTCTCCCAGCCGGCCCTTCTAGTTGCTTATTTATACGTCCTATCTTCGTTAACGCCAACACGGACGTGCAACCGATTCATGGCTAATCGGTCGTACCATCGGCGCTCGGGGACGGACCTCCATGGCATGGAGGATTTCCACCGCGCGGAACTCTCTTACCCGAATCGCCGCGACGTCTCCCCTTCTCCCGCGTTCCCCCCGTACCACGACACTGGCCGTTCCCCGCGCAACTCCCCCCTTTCCCGCGGACACGCGGAGCAGGCTCCTCCGCCATCGCAGAAGAAACATCACCGGTCTCTATCGCAACCTTTTTTCGACCCGCTGCCCGTAGAAAACATTGCGGAACGTATCAACGCTCTTGGCATTCCGAATCTTCAGAGCAGCCCGTTGCGCGCCGCCGAGAATGATTATCGAGGGAAAAGCGGGGGGAGAAAGGGGTCGACTCGGGCTAGCAGCAAAGGCTCGCATGTAGACGAATGTGACAATGTAGGGTTCGACGATGACGATTCGTCGGATTCTTCCGGTTTTTCCGGTAGAGGAATCAGCTACTACCGAGATCGAGCTAGGCCTGGGAGCAGTGGCGGCAGTAGGCCTGGGTCCGCCATTTCTTCAGGTTCGGGAGCAGGCTCGGCAGCAGGTTCGGCTACCGCAATGTCCGGATCTTCAGGGTACGGAGCGGTGTCTCTTTCCCGGGAGTTCGTTTTTGACATGAGGCAGCACCCGTCTTCCCCGCCCCGCCACGTGTCCGCGCGCTGGTCCGGGGCTTCGCAACCCGCGCACGCGCAGCCTCCGCCGAAGGAGCTTCTGCGCAGCGACGATGAAGATGAGGACGGGATTGAGGACCCAGAGGACGCGGAACAGCCCCCCCCCGCCCGGCGCGCGCACACTGCGTCGGACGCCATGCGCGGAAAGAAGGGCGCGCGCGCCATCAGCGGCGCCAGCGGAAGCGGGAAGGACGCGGGGTTTGCGCACAAGGGAAACGGTCCGCTGAGCCCCAGTGGCGGGTTGGGGGCAGTGTCGCGTTTCCATACCACCAGCAACGCGGAGAGACGGCACAGGGCGGAAGGCGGAAGCACGGGGGGAAGGAGAACGTCTCTGGAGGGCAGAAGCATGAATAATTTAAGCGGCAGCAGCGGGTTCAGCAGCAGCACGGGGTCGTTAAGAGCGTCGGTCGACGCGCCGCAGAAGTCGTCCTCGAGGCGCCTGTCCGCGTCGGCGTCCTTCAATCCGCGCTCCTCGCACGCCGCGACCACGTTCAACCACTCCGGACCGCACGCCGCCGCGCATTCGGGTCCGCAGGCCGCGCTCTCCCCGCGCGCGGGCGGCCCATCCGGCGGCGGAGGGTCGAATCTCGGTTCCGGCCCTCAGTCCAGGTCCGGTAAATCCCGAGCCACGGCGAGCATGGCCGAAGCTGACGGCTTGGGGCTAGGTTTGGACAAGCTGGACGCGTTGCGGCGGGAGCAGCAGCAGCAGCTGCAGCTGGCCGCTGCGGCCGCGGCAGGCCACGGGGGAGCAGCGGCAGCGCGGCAGATTCTAGGGTTAAAAGAGAGCGAGAGGCGGAGAGGACCAGGCTCGGGATCGCTCGTGGCTCGGGATGATGTGGGTGGGAACCATCACCACTACCACCACGCGCAGCAGCAGCAGCAGCAACAGCAGCAGGGTCACCACCGTCATCAGCAGTTACACGCCAGCAGCAGTGGTGGTAGCGGCAGCGGCGGGGGAGGGGGCGCAGGGAGCGCAGGCGGGGGAAGCGGGCAGTTCCGGCGGGGGACGTCCGCGGATAACCGCTCCCCGCGCCACGCGCGATTCGCGTCGGAGGTCCCGCAAGGTGGGATGCACGGTAGCGGAGTGCACAGTAGCGAGGACGCGGACGACGCGGCGGCAGCGGCGGCGGCGGCGGCAGGCGGAGGGACGGCTGGGCGCGCGGCGAACCGAGCTAAGCTGCGGTTCTCCAAGTCGCTTAAGAAGGTCGCGGGGGAGGCGGCGGGGGACGCGGAAGACACTCCAGTGGCGGACTCTCTCCTCCGCCGCCCGCCTGCTCTCGAACTCGGCAAGCTGTCCGCGGGGGCGGCAGCAAACGCGTCGTTTTCCGGGCCAGTGGTGGTGGGGTCGGGGGATGGGGGGCGGGAGGGGGCGCAAGCAGCGGGGGAAGCAGCGGGGGGGGAAAGGGGAAGGGCAGCGGGCGGAGGTCCGGTTCTGGATCAGAGCAAGTCGGGGCGGAGGGCGTTCCTGGGGTTGCTCAAGGGGCTGCGCTCGCCGCGGCTGTCAGGCACGTTCGACCTCGCCACTGGCGCGGGGCTTAAGAGCCCTACAGGCGGAGACGACTGGGCCGCGGGCGCCGCTGCAGTGGGGGTTTCGCCGAGAGGAGCGGGGGGAGGAGGAGGAGGGGGTGGGGGTGCGGGGGGCAGGAGCGGGAGCCCCGCGGAGGCAGCAACAGGCGAGCGGAAGAGCGCGCCCCGCCCGTCCCTCTCCCCCCTGCGCAGCCCGCGGCTGTTCTCCTTCAGCGGATCCAAACGCTTCGATAAGAGCCCGCGCGGTATAGCACACAGCCTCACAGGCACAGGCTCAATGCGCAGCCCCCGAGGGGGAGGGGACGGCGGGGGCAGCCCGGAGGAATGGACAGTAGGCACTGGCGGGAAAGAGGGCATCTTAAAACGGGGATACGCGGACGTGCGGAAGGTGTACGAGGTGGGGGATAAGATCGGCGAGGGACGGCCGGGCGTGGTGGTGTATGCATGCACGGCAAGGAGGAGTGGGCGCGCGCTTGCGTGCAAGTCGATAGACAAGAAGACGCTGGATGATGATAAGAAGGCGGAGGCTCTGCGGCTGGAGGTGGAGCTGATGAAGCAGCTGGGCGTGCATGGCGGCATCGTGTCGGTTCGAGATGCCATTGAGGATGATACGGTGAGTGAATCTGTGGGTGGTGGTTGATACGGTGAGTGAATCTGTGGGTGGTGGTTGATACGGTGAGTGATTTCGTGGGTGGTAGGTGAGTTGGTGGGGTGGTACTGGGGGTGATTTTGCAGACGTCTCAAAAGTGCGGCTGGAGGTGGAGCTGATGAAGCAGCTGAGCGTGCATGGAGGGATTATGTCCGTCCGTGGCGCTATTCAGGATGACACGGTGAGTTGTGGGTGGTTGGTGTGGGTGGTGGGTGATGCGGTGAATGATGGGTGGTGGTGGGTGACAGTGGTTGACAGGGGTGGGTGGATTGTGGCGTTCCCTTCCCTCTTCAACTCCTCCCTCTCCCTCCTCATCTGCCCACTTGGCCACTCGCTCACATCCTCCCCTCCCCACTTCCCCACCTCCCTCCCACCTTGTCCCCCCTCATCCCCACTGTCCTGCTCTGCCCACCCGCCTGGCCCCTACTATCATTTTGAGGCGCCTCTAAATGCACTTAAATGCACCTGGCCCCTACTATCATTTTGAGGCGCCTCAAAATGCACTTAAATGCACCTGGCCCCTACTATCATTTTGAGGCGCCTCTAAATGCACTTAAATGCACCTGGCCCCTACTATCATTTTGAGGCGCCTCTAAATGCACTTAAATGCACCTGGCCCCTACTATCATTTTGAGGCGCCTCAAAATGCACTTAAATGCACCTGGCCCCTACTATCATTTTGAGGCGCCTCTAAATGCACTTAAATGCACCTGGCCCCTACTATCATTTTGAGGCGCCTCAAAATGCACTTAAATGCACCTGGCCCCTACTATCATTTTGAGGCGCCTCTAAATGCACTTAAATGCACCTGGCCCCTACTATCATTTTGAGGCGCCTCAAAATGCACTTAAATGCACCTGGCCCCTACTATCATTTTGAGGCGCCTCAAAATGCACTTAAATGCACCTGGCCCCTACTATCATTTTGAGGCGCCTCAAAATGCACTTAAATGCACCTGGCCCCTACTATCATTTTGAGGCGCCTCAAAATGCACTTAAATGCACCTGGCCCCTACTATCATTTTGAGGCGCCTCAAAATGCACTTAAATGCACCTGGCCCCTACTATCATTTTGAGGCGCCTCTAAATGCACTTAAATGCACCTGGCCCCTACTATCATTTTGAGGCGCCTCAAAATGCACTTAAATGCACCTGGCCCCTACTATCATTTTGAGGCGCCTCAAAATGCACTTAAATGCACCTGGCCCCTACTATCATTTTGAGGCGCCTCTAAATGCACTTAAATGCACCTGGCCCCTACTATCATTTTGAGGCGCCTCAAAATGCACTTAAATGCACCTGGCCCCTACTATCATTTTGAGGCGCCTCAAAATGCACTTAAATGCACCTGGCCCCTACTATCATTTTGAGGCGCCTCTAAATGCACTTAAATGCACCTGGCCCCTACTATCATTTTGAGGCGCCTCAAAATGCACTTAAATGCACCTGGCCCCTACTATCATTTTGAGGCGCCTCAAAATGCACTTAAATGCACCTGGCCCCTACTATCATTTTGAGGCGCCTCAAAATGCACTTAAATGCACCTGGCCCCTACTATCATTTTGAGGCGCCTCAAAATGCACTTAAATGCACCTGGCCCCTACTATCATTTTGAGGCGCCTCAAAATGCACTTAAATGCACCTGGCCCCTACTATCATTTTGAGGCGCCTCAAAATGCACTTAAATGCACCTGGCCCCTACTATCATTTTGAGGCGCCTCAAAATGCACTTAAATGCACCTGGCCCCTACTATCATTTTGAGGCGCCTCAAAATGCACTTAAATGCACCTGGCCCCTACTATCATAACTTGATGCAAGAACCACCCCGTGCAAGCATGTTTGCTTGCAAACCACCCCATGCACGCATGTTTGCATGCAAACCACCCCATGCAAGCATGTTTGCATGCAAACCACCCCATGCACGCATGTTTGCATGCAAACCACCCCATGCAAGCATGTTTGCATGCAAACCACCCCATGCAAGCATGTTTGCATGCAAACCACCCCATGCAAGCATGTTTGCATGCAAACCACCCCATGCACGCATGTTTGCATGCAAACCACCCCATGCAAGCATGTTTGCATGCAAACCACCCCATGCAAGCATGTTTGCATGCAAACCACCCCATGCAAGCATGTTTGCATGCAAACCACCCCATGCAAGCATGTTTGCATGCAAACCACCCCATGCAAGCATGTTTGCATGCAAACCACCCCATGCAAGCATCGCTCACACACCGTGCCCCCGGACGTGCCTCTGTGCCCAAACTCCCTTCATCTCCTCCATTTCCCCACCCACCCCCCCCACTCCCCGCTGCCAGCACATGCACCCCCTGATGGAGCTGTGCGGCGGGGGCGATCTGCTCAACTTCTCAATATTCAATGCACCCCCACTCTCCCCCTTCTTCTCCCCCCTTCTCTCCCCTTCTCCCCCTCATATCCCCCTCTTCCAGGCCCCCCCAGCACGTGCACCTCCTAATGGAGCTGTGCAGCGGGGGAGATCTCCTAAACTTCTGAAATTCCCCCTTGCCCCCTCCCCCACCCCCCCACTCACCCCACTCCCCACCCCCCCAGCACGTGCATCTGCTGATGGAGCTGTGCAGGGGGGGAGATCTCCTAAACTTCGTGAACACGGCGCCGGCCATCTTGGAGCAGCAAACCGCCACCATATTAAGGCGCCTAGTCCTTGTCCGCCCTCCCTCCCCCTTCTCCTCCCCTACAGCACGTGCACCTCCTAATGGAGCTGTGCAGCGGGGGTGACCTCCTCAACTTCGTGAACACGGCGCCAGCCATCTCGGAGCAGCAGGCGGCCACCATAGTAAGGCGCCTGGCGGACGCCGTGCGCTACTGCCACCGCCAGGGCGTGGTCCACCGCGACCTCAAGCCCGAGAACATCCTCATGGCCGCAAAAGGCGCCTGGTGGGACCTGAGGGTCGCTGACTTTGGCATCTCCGCCATGCTCAAGCCAGGTACAGTGTGGTACAGTGGGGTACAATGCGGTGTGCAGTGCGCTACTGCCACCGCCAGGGCGTGGTGCACCGGGACCTCAAGCCTGAGAACATCCTCATGGCCGCCAAGGACGCCTGGTGGGACCTGCGGGTTGCTGACTTTGGCATCTCCGCCATGCTCAAGCCAGGTGGGTGGGGATGTGATGGGTGTGTCCAGGTGACTTTCGAGTTCACTTGGAGAACATCATGTAACCTGCTGCCCGACTCCGCCATTGGGTGACAGCGTGGTGCAGGTACCCCTATCTGCCTATCTGCATCGCTCTTCTTTTGAGTAAGTCTGAAATTTCTCAAATCAATCCTTCCCCTCTTGGTGTGTGCGCAACCCCTCATTACACCCCATCAAGCGAGCACATTCAAGGCAATGCAAGCAGACCGTTTTACCTCGCCCCCAATCGGGTTTTTTTTTGTTTCTCACAAATCAGCTATTCTCCAGTCCCCCTCCCCTCCTCCCCCCATCAGGCGAGCGCATTCGAGGCTATGCGGGCAGCCCATTCTACATCGCCCCGGAGGTGCTGGGCGGAGCGTACGCATTCGAGTGCGACGTGTGGTCGCTGGGCGTGGTGCTGTACGTGCTGCTCGCACAGAAGCTGCCCTTCTGGCACGACTCGGACGCGGGTGTGTACAAGCTGATCCTCAAGGGCCACGTGGACACGCGCACCGGGCCCTGGACGAGCATCTCGAGAGATGCTAAGGGGCTCGTGCACCGCATGCTGACGTCCGATGCGAGTCAGCGCATTACCCTGGATGAAGTGATTGGTGAGTGGGTGTTGGTGGGGTGGGGTGTGGGGTTTGTTGGAGGTGTGATGGGAGGGAGCACAGGGCGGTGTGTACAAGCTGATCCTCAAGGGCCATGTGGACACGCGCACCAGGCCCTGGACCAGCATCTCAAGAGATGCTAAAGGGCTCGTGCACCGCATGCTCACCAGCGATGCCAGCCAACAACGCATTACCTTGGATGAAGTGATTGGTGAGTGGGTGTGGTCAGTGGGAGTCGCCGTGCTGTAGGTGTTGGTCTATGTGGACACGCGCACCGGTCGGTGGGCTGGCGGGCATCTCGAGGGATGCCAAGGGGCTCGTGCACCGCATGCTGATGTCTGATGCCAGCCAGCGCATCACTCTGGACCAAGTGATTGGTGAGTGGGTGTGGGGATGAGTGGGAGTGGCAAGTCGTGTGAGGGGCGGCAGCGCCACCTTCATCCTTCTGCCTTCCGTGCTTCCCTTCTAATTGACATCCCTTCCCTCCACTCATCCCCCTCCCTCATCCCATTCGTCTCGCTCACTTCTTCCCTCGTCTCGTCTCTCCCTCTGCCCTTCTCCCTCGGTCTCTCCCTCTGCCGTTCTCCCTCCTCTCCCTTGGCACTTCTCTCTCCGCCTCTCCGTCCCTGCAGAGCACCCATGGGTGGTCGCGAATCAATGCGAGGTGCCAGAAGCACCGCCGCCACCATCAGAGGCAGAGACAAAGCAGGCCAAGAGGCGAAGAGCCATCGCCCGGTCACGAGCCAACATCATCGCCTCCTTCCGCCTTCCCTTCTGCCTCACCCCACTCACCAATGATTCCGTCTACAGTGACAGCGAGGGTGTAGTGTAGCTGACATGGTTGATGTGTTTGTGTCGCAATGGGGCACTGTGTAGCCTTCCCTGACCCTAATTCTTGATTCTGTTTCAGTATTCCATTAGATCTCTGGCGTTCTCTTTTGTTCCTACGGTAATCTGCAGCGCACTGAAGTGACTGACAGTGGGAGTGGATGGAGCCGACGGTTGCTTTAGGGTAGGCAATTCAATCAACAGTTGTGAGGTAAAGTTTGACTCTGGGATTGGGAGGGAGTAGGAGTCTGCATTAAGGTCCTCAAGGTAATCACTGATTGATTTGTGTTTGATAAGGCGGGGCAATTGTTGGGAACAAGTAATTTAAAGCGCTTTTGTCATGTCGAAACACCAAGCCGTAAACGAAGCGAAGTACAGTGAAGCATCAGCAAGTCAACCCTCGGAGGTTGAACAACAGCTGGAGGTTACGCGAAAGTCAAAGGTCAGCAACCTTTGACCTGACAAATACAGCACGATAGCAGGGACACACAACTGACTCGTTATTGAGCAGTTGCCCGAGTCGTCACTGTATCGAACCGCAACAGCAACAGTAAAACGGTTATTAACTGAATCTCTTCGTATTCCTTGTACTCTTATATAAAACCTTGTATCTCTCTGTCTCAATTAATTTACTTTGCCCTCACATACCAGCGCAAGGTGGTTCACAAGACTTATCATTAACGCTTCCGCTATTACATTGTTCCTACCTTGAATTTAATCCTGCAAAGATCCTAAGGGCTTGTTTCAGCCCAACAGCAACGAGAGCTTGTATTGGGTGTGTGTTGATGCACCCTCCCGGTCAAATACCCTGCAATCTATGTTTTTTGTTTTTCCAAGTCTGATTTGAAACATTACCTCAGCCGGATAAATCAGCCCAGTAAGCAAGTAGCCCCAGAATTTCGGTTGCCTAAGTACATTGGTGCTCTAGACTGCATTCACTGAGAATAATATTGTATGGAATGTACAGTAAATGTCCTTCCAAGGACGCATTCTTGCCTCGTGTCTGACAGCAGGTCATCAGCCCTTAGTCTCTGATTCGCCTCTTCCCAAGTTGATTTGCCCCTATTTCGAGCCACTTCGGGTCTTCCGAGCCTCCAAGGGCGGATGACCTGATGTCAGACACGAGGCAAGAATGCACCCCAAGTCTGTTCAAGAAAACAAAATGAAGTTCAAGATAAACGCGTCCGTTTGTCGTTTTTTACCAGCGGGTTCCCGGGCACTTCCACAAATTCTGTACATGTAGTTTCCGTACCCAAGGTACCCCTGTACAATTTTCTCACGTTAACTCCGACTTTGGTTCTCTAAGTACAGTCCATTACACATGTTATATGCTCCGTACATCATATGTGTCATTACTCCTACACCTGATGCCCATTTCAGTCCCGTTCCCTATCTTTCTCTGTGCTCCTCTTTCGAGCATGCGCTCTCTACGGGGAGAATGGGACTGTATCTGGTGTAGCCCAGCGTGTCTTGTCTGGGAAACTCGATTAACCTATTCGAGGTCAAGAATATCTTAGCTTTGTCGTGGGCTGGTAACGCGCGGGCCGTTGGCTGTGAATGTCGACCACTGGGCGTATGGAGTGGCAGTGGGCGTGTTCAGAGTGGGCGGTTGAGTGAGCATTAGGGTGTATTAGTGTGTTACTGACACTGCACAGGTTTCGAGCCTCCGAGAGGATAGAACGTCTGTTTTACAGTGACAGGAACGCAGAGGGAATCGCAATGGAACATCCAGCAAATGCGCTGTGATCACAAGGTGTTTTCCGACATCGACGGATAGCGGGTAGCGGTGGCAACACATAGATTCCCTCATGTCACTTTCTTCATGTGTTGGAATTCGCACGTTCAGCTCCCATGCAATCCTTTGAGCAGTACAGTACAGAACAGTACACATGTTGCTCAACTGCTGTGCCCGAATTTGCCCTGGCCACGCCAGAAAGTCTGCACCCGTGAATTTTGCTTCGGCCAGTTGCACCCTTGTTATAAGCACCCTAAGCAAGCTGCACTGACTATGAACCAATATAAACCACAGAAACCATAGTCAAACTGAAGTGACTGAAGTCAAACAGTCAACGAGCAGTTACAATTTTATTATTAGCCCTTTTTTGCTAGGTGCGACTTTGACGAAATTCGCGAAATTCTGAAAATCACTTAAAATTCCCCTTCACAAGGCGACCTTGGGTTAGTCAAACGAGCATCATTTGTATTCGGGCGAGGAGCTTTCCGTTGGGAAGCTGGAATGAACTTCACCACGTAACGTCCACGACAAAAGAGGGCTGAAATGTTCACCCGCACAACTGGGCTTTTCAAACTTTTAAGTGGTGGTAATTACTACTCTGCTTCGGCTAAACCAGTGGTGAACCCTTTGTTCACTGAGGTTGGGAGCGTGCGGCTGGGCCGTGGAAGTAGCGTGAATTTGACGACATTTCTGTATAGTTTTATCGTGCTGTGCAACACTTCGCCTTCCAGTAGAAGAGACTACTCGGTTTCTGCTCATAGTTGGCTGGGTACTGCAAAACGCATCGAGAAAGCCTTGCTTGTTGCCCAACACATGGCCACTGGGCAGCCGTCCCTTGAGTGAGGATCGTACTGGGGTCGGATTCGATTGCACTTAGTCCTGACGAAACTTCCGAAGAACGATCGGGAGAAGAGATTGTTTGTCGTTGGAACCGAATTCGTGAATGTCCCGGTCAGGGAAAACCCAAATTCTCCACTTGACTGGTACACTTATCACGCCTTTATGACGGGCGTTCGTTACGTATCACCAACATTAATGTATGGAGGATAAAAATCATCCCAGCCGTCCATTGTGACACCGTGGAACTTCACTGACGGCAAGATGTGAGCGAAACCCTAGTCGTTTGCTGTTCCTCCTCACACATCCCAGAAGAGAGGTTGCTGAGTTCATCCCCAACTGAACCAAGTGAATCGAGCGTTGGCGGACGTGCTCAGGGACAACAAATAACACTGGAATCTGCTGCTCGGTAGTAAATGCTCCTCACTCTCTCCAGCTCACCCTACTGCACTCAATCCTTCAGTTGGAGCTGCGGATGTCAAACCAGTTTGCTTTTGTGACGACGGTTCTATGCGTACACTTGTCTTGGCTTGCGTTGCACTTGTTCTCTAGGAAGAGGTGTTTTTGGAATTCCGTACTGTTCCGGACCAGGTCGATGAAGCGTGTCTGATCAAGCGCCGTATGATTGTGGAAGTTGAATACTTTTTGACGACAAATTTTGAGTTGACATCGCACATCACGCGACGAGTGGAGGGCTCCTCCGATAGTCGGCGAACATAATGGAGCAGACAGGCGATAGCGATCAGGTCAGATAGCCTTCGAGGTGGTAATAGGTCAATCGCGGCAGGAAGCTCTTATGGACGACGTCGGACGTCGAAATGGTTGTAGTACTCAGCCGCTAGTGCCTGGCGCGACGTGCCACTTGCTCTGCGCTGGCGGCAAATGCGCTTCGCACGTTCTGTTGTCCACTTTCATAAATGATGATGACGCAGTTCACGACGTTAATTAGGGTCGTCGTATTTTTGCCGTCCGTCGGGCCGCAATGGGGACTATTGCTTCCTGGGCTCGCGGCGGCTGAAATGGCCTTTACTAGGCGCGACATAATAACTTGCAAACGTCGGCGCTGCATCGTATTGCGCTATATCATGGCTTCACCTGGATCATATCATGACGTCCCCCGTTTCCCAGCTCCTTGTCGTTACGCTTGTCCCAGGCCGTCCCCTCGCCCTCTGCGGCTTATCTCCCCTCCCCTCCGCGTATTTCCCCTTGCCCTCCGCGCCACACGCGTCAGGTGCTCGGCGATTTGCTCAACAATCTCCCCACCGCGCAGGAGATTTCTGCCAATCCGTTCCCCCCGCCGGGCCCCTTCAGCGCGCCTGAGACGCAGGTCGGCGCAAACAGAGACGGCGGCGGGCGGGAAGGGGGCAGCAGCTGGGGCAGTGGCGGAAGCGGCGGGGTAAGCGCGCGGGAAGCGCAAGCCGCCGCGGGGAGAGACGGGAGCGGAGGCGCAGGGGGGGAGCAGAACGGCGGAGTGCAAGCAGGGGTTGGGGGGAACAGAGCGGGAGGGGCGGAAGGAGCTGGCGCGGCTGGCGGGGGAAATGGGGGGTTGGGGGGATTGGGCGGAATGGGGGGAGTGGGGGGAGACGATAGCCGGTCGGGGAGCGAGGAGGATGGGACGTCGGATGGGGAGGGGATGGGCGGGCGGGATAAGAAGAAGGGCAAGCGGTATCACCGCCACACGGCGCAGCAGATCCAAGAAATGGAACGGTGAGGAGCGGTGGGGTAGGGCTGAAAAAAGGGGGGCAAAGGAGGGGAGAGGGGGGAGGAGAGGAAAGGAGACGTTGAGGAGTGGTGAGCGGAGGAGATGTGATGATGTGTGACAGACTGGTTGATAAGATATGGTAAGATCAGCGTATCTCCCTCTCACCGGTGTTCTCTTCTCTATAATAAAGTGGTATTAGGCTCACTGAACCCACAGCTCATTCTGTATGCTTCCGTTGCGTGCGTGCATGCGTGCGTGCCTGCTGCTGGGGATGGTGTCACTATTGCTTGTGCCATCCGTGCCATCTGTTCCCTCTGTCCTGTCTCTGCTCTGTATCCGTCTCCGCCCTCCTCTCACCACCTGGCAGGTTGTTCCGTGAGTGCCCGCATCCGGACGAGCGACAGAGGCAGCAGCTGAGCCAACGGCTGTCGTTGGCGCCACGGCAAGTCAAGTTCTGGTTCCAGAACCGCCGCACGCAGATGAAGGTGAGTCAACGCAGGCTCTATTGTTGATGCGCTTCAAAAATAGACTATCGTTGGCGCCACGGCAAATCAAGTTCTGGTTCCAGAACCGACGCACGCGGATGAAGGTGAGTGGCCCGCTGCTGTGCTTGCGATTGTAACTTTCTCAAACGGAGTGAGCGGAGAATGCAAAGGATAGAGCTGAGAACGCATCGCTGCGGCATGAGAATGACCGGCTATGTCGTGATGTGATGCGGCTGACTCCCCGTCCCCTTCTGCCTGTTTCTATGTGCCTCTTTCCCTGTGTCTCTTGTCATCACCAGGCTCAAACCGAGCGGGCTGAGAATGCGATGCTGAGGCAGGAGAACGACCGGCTGCGCGTGAGGTGATGCGGCTGCGGTCCGTGCTGGCTGCTGCTGCTGCTGCAGTCCTGACTCCCCTTGCACCTGCGTGTCCCTTCCCTGTGCCACTTGCCATCACCAGGCTCAAACCGAACGAGCGGAAAACGCAATGCTGAGGCAGGAGAACGACCGGCTGCGCAGCGAGGTGATGCGCCTGCGCTCCGTGCTGGCTGCTGCCGCGTGCCCCGCGTGCCACACGCGCCTCGTGCCGGGCAGCGGTGGTGACTCCATGCACGATGCCTCGGCCGTGACGGCTCAACTCATGGAGGAGAATGCGCACCTCAAGAACGAGGTACGGGGGTTAGCTTCAGGCCGTTCGTTTTGTGAGAGAGTGCATTGGCACTCGGCATCTGCCTCGTGCCGGGCAGCATTCGTTCCGGACACGATGCCTCGCCCGTGGCGGCGGCTCTGCGCATGGAGGAGAACGCACACCTCCAGAGCGAGGTAGGGCCAAGTTACTGAGTGATGTGGTGTGAAGTGAAGGAGGAAGGCCACTCTCGCCCTGCGTCCGCCTTTCTTCTTCCCCACTCCGGCACCTCCTGCCCCCTCTCGTCCTCCTGAGACTGCCTGGCAGAGAGAGCGAGTGTCAATGCTGGCAGCGCGGCAGCTGGCAGCAAGGGGTGCGGTGGATCCCATGGGGCCCGCCACACTCGCTGCTCTCCACGCCGCTGCTGCTGCTGCCTCGCTCGCCCTGCATCCACCTGTCCTCTTCCCACCCCCCAATCTTTTTCGGCTCCCCCGTCTCCTCCAACCGTGTGTGCTGTGCAGATAGAGCGGGTGTCAATGCTGGCAGCGCGGCAGCTGGCAGCGAGAGGCGCTGTGGATCCCATGGGGCCCGCCACAGTCGCTGCTCTCAACGCCGCTGCTGCTGGCGGCATGCAGGCACCAGGCATGGGCGCCGGTGTAGGGAACCCCTCTGCTGCCGGCAATGCTGGTGCCGGTGCCGGCGGTGGTGGGAATGGGGGTGGGGGTATGGAGGGAATTGGTAACCCTGGGATGGTGCAGGATGGTGGTGCTGGTGGCATGGGGATGGGAGGCAGGGATTTCGGCGCTGCTGCTGCTGGTGGTGCTGTTGGGAGTTTTGGCATGGAGTCTAATGCTAGTGCAATTCAGCGTATGCAGCAGTTTCAACAGCAACAGCAACAGCAGCAACAGCAACAACAGCAACAGCAGCAGCAGCAGCAGCAGCAGCAGCAGCAGCAGCAGCAGCAGCAGCAGCAGCAGCAGCAGCAGCAGCAGCAGCAGCAGCAGCAGTCAATGGGAGGGTTGCTAGGGGATATGGTCCCTTCGTCCCGATTCAACATGGATGCAACTCAAGGGGGCTTCTTTGCTGCTGCTGCAGCGGCGGTGGCGGCGGGGAGGGGTATGAATGAGCATGGGATGATGGGCCTATTGGGTGGTGAAGCAGCAGCAGCAGGGGGGGGGTCAGCAGGGGGGGGAGGCGTGGGGACGAGTGGCATGGACGGGTTGTCGGATTTCCATCGGAGCAACACGGGGAGAAGCAACCACTCCAACGCCTCTCCTCATGCTGCTGCCGCAGCAGCAGGAGGAGGAGGCGGAGGAGGGGAAGGGGGAGGAGGAGGGGGAGGAGGAGGGGGAGGGGGAGGCGGAGCAGGGAGCAGCAGCAGCGGGTTGCTATACGACATGGGGGGGAATGGAGCTGCCCGCACCGCTGCTCATGCTGACGCCGCTGCAGCTGCTGCAGCAGGAGGAGGAGGGGGAGGGGGAGGGGGAGGAGCGAACGGTTCTCTGTTCGGCCTGGCTAGCGGGTGGGGGCTAGCAGCAGGAGGATTAGGAGGAGCAGGAGGAGCGGGAGGAGCGGGAGGAGGAGCAGCAGCAGGGGGGGCATTAGGACTAGGCCCAGGTTTCCCAGCATCATTGCGAACAGGGGGAGGCATGATGAACCCTGTGGGGGGGGAGGCCATGGGGGCCCTGCTAGGCGCATCAGGGGAGGGCGGAGGCCTGTCAGACTCAGAGCGAGATGTGGTGATGGACTTAGCAGTCTCCTCTCTAGAGGAGCTCGTAGGCTTGGCGCAGATCAACGAACCTCTCTGGCTCCCGGGCCTGCTCTCCCGAGCCTTCGACAGGCATGGGAGTGGCGGGAGTGGGGGAAGCGGTGGGGGTGGAGGGGGTGGGGGGGGCGGAGGGGGTGCGGGGAACGGGGGGATGGGAAGTGGGGGAGGAGGCATGGTGGGGAACGGGGGCGAGCAGCTGAACCGCACGGAGTATCGGCTGCGGTTCCCCAACTGCGTGGGTGACGGCCCTCCAGGGTTGTCCATTGAGGCATCTAGGGCACGGGGAGTGGTGTCGCTGAACGCCCTTGCGCTCGTAGAGCTCTTCATGGATCCGGTGGGTGCTGAGGATGGGTGTATGCATGACTTGATTGCTGTTCATGTGTGGGGGACGGCCCTTCGGGGTTGTCCATTGAGGCATCGAGGGTGCGAGGGGAGTGGTGTCGCTGAACGCCCTCGCACTCGTAGAGCTCTTCATGGATCCGGTGAGTTTGGATGGTGCGTGGCTTTGAGTATTCATGGATCCGTGGGTGTTTGGCGAGTAGTGGTGTGACGTGTAAATCCATGTGGTGTTTGTCGCATGGGTTGTCCATTGAGGCATCGAGCGCGCGAGGGGAGTGGTGTCTCTGAACGCCCTCGCATTCGTAGAGCTCTTAATGGATCCGGTGAGTGTTGAGTTGAGGCTTGATGAGTGACTCTGCATCACTAAGGTGTGCTTCCATGTTTTGTTGCTCGCATGAGTTGATGCTTGTGTGCCAGGGCTTTCAGACAGGCTTCATGTGGAGCATGCCATCGCTGGTGTTGCCGAGTGCCCTCAGCCTTGTGGAGCTCTTCATAAACCCTACGCCCTCGCCCTTGCTGGTGCTTGAGTCACTATGTATTTTTGGAGTCGACTTCGAAGGACGATTCCCACTTTACTCTCCCCTCTCGTGCCGCACCCAACTGCTCCTTCCCCCTCTCCCTCCACCCCTCACCAGGTGAAGTGGGCAGAGATGCTCCCATCGTTGTTGTCTCGAGCCGTGGTGGTGGATGTTATCTGTGTCGGCAACGAGCCCACCCAGCGCAACGGCACGCTCCAGCTGGTGGGTGGCCGTGCAGAGGTGGGTTGTTCTGAGAATCTTCAGGCATATGACGAGTGAGCTGCGGTACTGAGCCGTGGTGGTGAACCTCATCTATGTGGGCAATGAACCCACGCAGCGCAACGGCACTCTGCAGCTCGTGAGTTGCCTTAAAGGGGTGAGAGAGCTGGTGGATGCCTTGTTGCCATCGTTGGTGTCTCGAGCTGTGGTGGTGGACGTCATCTGTGTGGGCAATCAACCCACGCAGCGCAACGGCACTCTGCAGCTCGTGAGTGCCGCGCGCCCGGACCAAGGCGCGCGCCCGGACCAAGGCGCGCGCCCGGACCAAGGCGCGCGCCCGGACCAAGGTGCGCGCCCGGACCAAGGCGCACGTGCGGGGACCAAGGGCCAGGGCCCGCGCACGGGCCAAGTTGAGGTGGTAGGGCAGGGCAGGGGAATGGCATGCTGCAGCTGGTAGGGCAGGGCAGGGGAATGGCATGCTGCAGCTGGTAGGGCAGGGCAGGGGAATGGCATGCTGCAGCTGGTAGGGCAGGGCAGGGGAATGGCATGCTGCAGCTGGTAGGGCAGGGCAGGGGAATGGCATGCTTCAGCTGGTAGGGCACGATAATGGTACGCTTGCATCTGCTATTTGGCCTTGCGAACTTAATGCTGCCCATTTCTCGTCCCCACGTCACTTGATTACTTTGTTGCCTCGTTCCCTTGTCCCCTCGCCCCCACCTGCTGGGCCGTCACATCATAGACAGTCCCGTTGTTCCATCGGTCACTTGTGCCCCACCTCCCCTTGTGCCCTCCTGCCCCTCAGATGTATTTAGAGACGCAGATGCTCACACCGCAAGTGCCAACGCGAGAAGCCTTCTTCCTTCGCTACTGCAAGCAGCTCTCCCCCACCTGCTGGGCCGTCGTGGACGTGTCTGTCGACCGCCTCCGCAGCGAGCCCCCTCCCGTCATGCTCAAGTGCCGACGACGCCCATCGGGAATCCTCATCCAGGTGGGTTCTGGTACACCCGCCTGCTGCCCTCTTCAGGTATCTTATACCTCCTGCTGCCCTGTGCCGCCTGCTGCCCTGTGCCGCCTGCTGCCCTGTGCCGCCTGCTGCCCTGTGCCGCCTGCTGCCCTGTGCCGCCTGCTGCCCTGTGCCGCCTGCTGCCCTGTGCCGCCTGCTGCCCTGTGCCGCCTGCTGCCCTGTGCCGGCTGCTGCCCTGTGCCGCCTGCTGCCCTGTGCCGCCTGCTGGGCCGTCGTGTGACATCTCGGTGGATCGCCTCCGCAGCGAGCACCCGCCCGTCATGCTCAAGTGCCGACGACAGCCGTGAGGCATCCTCATTCATGTAGCAACCCCCGCGCTTCCTCTCTCTCTCTTCTCTCTCTCTCTTCTCCTCTCTCTCTCTTCTCCTCTCTCTCTCTTCTCCTCTCTCTCTCTTCTCCTCGCTCTCTCTTCTCCTCGCTCTCTCTTCTCGTTTGCCCCCATCTGCTTCTCTCATCCGCAACTGTCCTATCTGCCACCCTCTTTTCCCCCTCTCTATCGCCATCACCAGGAGACACCCAACGGCAGCAGTCAGGTGACACTAGTGGAGCATGTGGAGGCAGACCCCTTGGGAGTGCCGCCGCTCTTCAGGTGGGCCTTGGGTAAAGCCCGTGCCTCTGTTCCAGTCGATTTCCAAAGCCAATCCCCGCAGTCAAGTTTTCAGCTCTCCCAGAGCCATGTCCTTTGAGTCGGGTATTTTCAGTCGGTTTCTCCTAGTCAATCCCCCCAATTCCGCTCGCATTGAAGTCCACCTCAGCAACACAAACCCTTCATATCGTCAAAAACCCCAGTTGCACCAGTTGCCTGCATAAATAAACCCTTCAAACCCGTCTTCCCCCTTCCCAAGGCCATAATGTCAGCAGCACTGGGCCCCGAGCGGCGAGGTGGATGGCAGCGCTGCACCACCAGTGTGTGCGGTTTGGAGAGCTGCAGGAGAATCCTACTTGCCTGCCTGACTAGTCAACTCAACTCCTCCCCCTCCCTCCCTTGCCCTCCTGCTCCCCTTCCGTGTCCCAGACCAATCGTGGCAGGCATTGGGGTTCGGAGCAGCGAGGTGGATGGCAGCATTACACCACCAGTGTGTGCGGTTTCGGGAGCTGCTAGGGAACCCCACTTGCCTGCCTGTTATCTCAGCCCCTCCTTATCCCTCCCCCTTCCCCTCCCCATGTTCCGCTGTTTCTCCCCTCTTCCCCTACCTACACAGACCAATCGTGGCAGCAGCATTGGGTTTCGGGGCGGCAAGGTGGATGGCGGCATTACACCACCAGTGTGTGCGGTTCGGGGAGCTGCTAGGGAACCCCACGTCGAGGGACAGTGGCATCGTGTCTCAGCAGGGCCGCCGCGCCATGCTCCGCCTCGCCGGCCGCATGCTCTCCAACTTCTGTGTCGGCCTCTCCTCCTCCACCAGGTAGAGTTTGCACCAGGTAACGCTTTTGGGACGTCCTTGCTTTCGCCACATCTTGTTGTGATGTCACCCCGCTATCATCTCGCATCTCAACCCCTCATGTCACACTCTCGTGTCACCTTCCCATCCCAACCCCGCTTCTCACCTCCTCCCCCACCAGGCACTCCTGGAAGGTGATTGACCACTCTGACCGTGCCTCTGCTCTTCAGCTGCTCATCCCTGCTCTTTCCCCACATCTTGTTCTCATCTCACCCTCTCATCTCACCCTCTCATCTCACCCTCTCATCTCACCCCCCAGGCATTCCTGGAAGGTGATTGACAACTCCGATCGTGCCTGTGCAGCCACCTCCGCTGCAAGGGGGTGGGGGCACACCCGCTGATCCCTGCTCTTTCATCTTGTTCTCATCTCACCCTCTCATCTCACCCTCTCATCTCATCTCACCCTCTCATCTCACCCTCTCATCTCATCTCACCCTCTTACGTCACCCTCTCATGACACCCATCAGACATTCCTGGAAGGTGATAGACAACTCAGACCGCGCCTCTGCTGCCAGTACCGCTGCAGGGGGTGGGAGCACACCCGCTGGCACCAGCACTGCAGGGGGAGGGGGGATGGGGGGCGAGGGGGAGGGCATGGGGGGCGCGGGTGCGGCGTCAGAAGCAGCAGCGATGGGGGCGGTGGAGGTGTGGGTGGCGATGAGACGCAGTGTGACGGGCGCAGGGGAGCCTCTGGGGGTGATTCTCAACGCCGCTGCGTCTGTCTGGTTGCCCGTGCCCATGCCTCTCGCGTTTGAGATTCTGCGGAACGAGCAGACAAGGCGCGAGGTGAGTAAGGGAGGGATTGATGGAGAAGGAAGGGGGGGTGGGGGGGCGAGTGGGGTGTCAGGAGTAGCGATGGGGGCGGTGGAGGTGTGGGTTGCTTTGGCCATCTTTCTCACGTGGAACCTCTCCGGATTGTCATCCTCCCTGTCTGTACTCACAGGGGGACATCCCAGTGGCTTTCTCTCATCCTCTCTCACCCCTTCTCCGCCGTTTTGGTGCGCAGTGGGACATCTTGACAAGCGGGTCAGTGGTATCAGAGATGGGGAGAATACCCATTGGTGTGGACCATGGCAACTGTGTGTCGCTGCTCAAAGTGCAGGTCAGTGCTGGTCCCTTAGCCCATGGTGTATTGAGGTATACTTGGGATGTACTGGGTTGTAAAGTGGTACCTTGAGGCGTAGGCATGGTGCAGCTCGGTTCTCAAAGTGCAGGTCAGCGCGAGAGGGCCCACTTGTGCTGTGAAGGCATTTAAAGCGGCCGTGCAGTGAGGTCGCTGATGGTGTCAGCAACTGTGATTGTGTTTTAAGGTGCATCGGTGCACAGGCTTAGAAATGGCACGTTGAAGTCCCTATTTTTCCCCCCAACGCCCTTCCCGCTCCAGCCTTTCCCATTCGCCCTTTCCCACTCTGCCCTGCCCCCCGCCGGCCTCACCCCTCCGCATATCCATCCACCTTGCCCGCTGCCCTACAACAGCAGGCGGCAGCAGGCCCAGGAGCACAGACCAACATGCTCATTCTCCAAGAAACCACCTTCGACCCCTCAGGTGCGCCCAGGTGGATTCTCCGGTAAATTTAGGTGATCCTCATGTGTTTATCAGGTGATTTTCAGGTGTGTCCCCTTTCTAGGTGATCCTGCGCGCGCCCTGGTCCGCGCGCGCGACTTGGTCCACGCGCGCGCCTTGGTCCACGCGCGCGGCCTGGTCCACGCGCGCGACAGCTGCAGTAGCGACACCACCAGCAGTTGTAACAGTCGCGCCAGCAGCAGTTGAAGCAGCAGGATCACCACCACAAGCAGTAGCAGCAGTCACTGGCTACTCAGCTATGGTCTCACTGTCACCCACCTCCCAACTCCATTTTCGGGTAATTCTCAGTTGATCACACTTTTCATGTTTGCCCTCCCCCTCTCCCTTTCTCTCTGCCTCCTCTCAGGAGCTCTTATAGTATATGCACCGGTGGACATACCGGCAATGAAGGAGGTCATATCAGGCGGCTCCTCCGACTCCGTCGCCCTGCTCCCCTCGGGATTCTCCCTCCTCCCCGACTGCGCCCTCTCCTCCGACCAACGAGTAGCTCTCTTCCACGCCGCCCCCATCCAGCCCACCGCGGGCGGCGCCGCCTCGGCAGCATTCGCTGGGGGGGCGGCGGGGAACAGCCGGTATGGGGCGGAGGAGGGATGGCAGCAGGGCGGCGAGGTGGATAGCTTGGCAGCGCAGGCCATGCGGAGTGCTGCGAGGAAGAGGGCGCTGGGGCACGTGCCGGAAGGGTCCATTCTGACGGTCTCGTTCCAAATCCTCGTCAGCCCTAACCCCCAGGTATGCATGCTCGTGGTATACTATGCCACAGGTAGGGGCGAAGGGGAGGCAGCGGTTTCATGAGTTTGGAAGGGTCTATCCATCCTCACTGCCTTGTTCCACATCCTTGTCATCCCTACTTCGCAAGTGTGTATGCGGGGAGAACTGGTATATGGATTGTGATGGAGCGGCTGGCAGTGTTGGATTTTCTGTTGGACAGCAGCAGTCTGGCATTCTCTCTCTCAGAGCGCTCAAGTGTGCGCTCCCCCCATCCCACACCCCACACCTCCCCCCCCCTTCCCTACACCCCACACTCCCCGCTGGTTTCACATGGCAGGCGAAGTTGACGACAGAGAGCATGGCAACGGTGAACTCCCTCATCTGCTGCACCGTGCAGCGTATTCGCCAGGCCATGGACGTCGCTGCTGCCACACTCTAGCTGCCACTAGCTAAGAAACGCAAAAGCGCTCACCTAACCAGGCCTTTTCCCCCCACCGGAGCCATGGGGTTGGTCTCGTTGCCTTAGCACGCATGTACCCAGTGAGTTGATGGAAGCAAGGCCTCCGCAGCAGCCCACCAGTCAAGCATCAACAACAATTCTCCCGTCTATCTGCACCGTGCAGCGCATCTGCCAGGCCGTGGACGTCGCTGCTGCCACACTCCTGCCCTGCCCATGGCTGTTCCCCCACTCTAGCTGGCTCAAGCTGGCTCCCAAGAAACGCAAAAGCTCTCACCTTTCAGGCCTTTTCCTGGCACCGGAGCCATGGGGTTCGTCCCTTGCCTTAGCACGCACGTACCCACTGAATTGATAGAAGCAAGGCTTTCACAGCAGCCGACATGTCCACCTTGGGAACTCCCTCATCTTCTTCACCCTGCAGCGCATCCGCCAGGCCATGGACGTCACCGCTGCCATGCTCTACCCCTCCCTGCCGCTGCCAACCGTGCTCGTTGCTACACACGGTATCCACGTTATTGCACATGACCCTATCATCCACCGCCTTTCACCACCGGCCTCCACAGCTGCTCCGACGGGGTGATACCAATCGCTTGGCCAGCTTGTAGCCATGTTGCATAACCATCTTAGCCATCTTCTACCGGTAGCCATTTCCTAACCATTTCTTAGCCATGTCAGGGCCACCTCACAGCCTAGCCAGCCGCGTGTGAAAGCTCTGCTGCCATCAACACACAGCAGCTGTACCACTTGCTGCTGCCACCTGTGCAATCCTGTCTGCACCAGTGTGCTCCCATGGCACACTCAATGTGGTAGGCTATTTAATTAGGAAATAGGGGCTGCACAGAAGAATGAGTTGAAACTGTAGAAGTTCCCAAAGCTATGATGCAATGAGCCTCGATAATGTTCAAGAAAGCTAAAGCTCCTTCCCAACCAAAGGTAGAGTAGTGTTCATGTATGGAAAACAGCAGCTGCACCAAGAACTTCATATTGATCATACCTTATTTCTTTGGCAAAACTCCGTCTGTCTAGGTCAGTCACTCCTATGCAGAGAAAATTGCACTCAAACCAGAACAAATGTTAAAACAAGGCAGCAGCAATTGCCAGAGCTGTCCTTATAACCAGCAAAATTGGTGCCGGAATTACAGCAAAATGGGACATCGTAAAAGCCCAGCTACACCTAACTTCAATCATACGATTTAGAGAAACCGAGTAGGGTTCACTAAAATAAACCTCATCACCTCGAGACCTCCGGCGCAGGCGAGGGAGGCAAGGCGTAGGGGTACATAGACATGGGTGACCGCCCAGCCATGTGATGCGCCGAAAACGGGGGACCCAGGGGCGGCGCGAGGGAAAACGCGAGGGGGTCAATGTGCGACGAGCCTAGACCACCACCAAGGCTGGATCCGAGGCTCGATCCGAGGCTGGATCCGAGGCCGAGTTGCGCGTTCATGGGGTGGCCGTGCGCGGCGGCTGCGTGGTGCAGGCGCTGCAGCTGGCGACTGAGCTCCATGGCGTGCGAGCGCAGCACGCGGTTCTCCTCAGTCAGCTGCGTGTAGTGCCGCGACGCCATGTTGTACCGCGTCGACATCTCGCTGTTCTCCGCGCGCAGTTGCGCCACCTGGGGCGGGAGGACCGGGGGACGCGGAGGGAATACAGCGCGCAAGAAAGCGAATTGGGGTGAGGAGGCTGGAATGACGGGTGATGAGGCAGTGCGCGCGGGTGACAGTCGGGTTGTTGCGCGGAAAGGTTCAGGTTGTGGGGGGAATGGAAGAAGCAATAACCAAGGCGATAATCAAGAACCAGTAACGGGGCGGGAGATTCCGAACAGACTGTCCGCAGGCGTGGGTAACCCGACCCGAGGATGGGACTGACGGACCTGCTGGCGCATCTCGTCAAGATGGTGCTGCTTCTTCAGCCGCGACCGCCGCGCCGACTCCCTATTGCTCAGCATCCGCTTCTGCTTCCGCTCGTCCACCACCCCCGGATCTTCGTCCGACAACGGATGCGACATTCGCGACCCGCCATGATCCTGCTGCCGATGCTGCTGCTGCTGCTGATGCTGCTGCTGCTGATGCTGGTTCCTCTGCTTGACGTCAGCGTCGTGGGAATTGTCGCCATTGTGGTCTCTAGCTTGGCCGGTCTCCCCTGGATGGTGATCGCCTCTGTGGTCTGTTTCATGGCTCCTGCCCGCGGAAACATTGGGGGAGTTAGTTACGCCGCCATGACCTTTCCCGAGCTCATCTGAGTGGCAGCTCTGACTGTCGCAGCCTTCCGAATTGGGCATCCTGAACGAAATTAATTCTTCCAGCTATAACGTTGTTAAGTAAGGTAATTCCCTCGTTTGGAGCAGGGTCCCAACAATGCTTTGCTGAATAAAGTAACGATCTTGCGGTGGACAGAATCTAGGAGGCAGGGAAAGGAGAGTGTAAGTGGGAAGATATGGTGCTGAAGAACGAAACCTATTCCTGCAAAGACAATGCCGGTCAATGCACGTCTATGGAGTATACAGTCCTGTGGAAGATAACGGTAATAAATCTCTGATGAGAAGTAGGCGTCTAAGTTGAAGTCAAGCTTGCACTAACGGCAGGGCATAGTATCCAGATAAAGCGGTAACTCGAGTCATTTCGCAAAATGCAGGCTAAGGGCGAGTCAGTGAGCTGGAATCTGTAAGTCCTCTACTGGTCTCGTGTCTGGTGAAGGTTGATTGGGGTTTGGGGTTGTCAGCAATGGCTGCCTGTGCTGAGAGGTGCTTTCACGCTGATGCGCGTTCAAGTTCAGATCGAGCCCAAAGCGGGCACCACTCCCGCTGATCTCGTGAAGAGGGAATCAAGGGAACCGTCAAATGGCAGCGTTTGAAAGAAAATGTTTGTTCGACGTCGAAAGAGGCTGCATAGCAACATTATCTCATTGATAAGGAGTAAAAATGACGGCGGGGGTAATCAAGAGGGTCATGTACAGTGGTGCGACGAAAACAATACTCCGCTTGTCGGTTGGGAGAAAGGTCCTCACCTGCCCGAAATGTAGGTTCACAGCTTGAGGAGTTTGGAGGTGGCCTAGAAGGCCCCACCATACATGGCACGAACGGCGACCACGCAAGCCTGACGTGTAACGCTGCGCCATTCGTGGCGGTTGCTGAGCCATCAGGAGCCATCCTACCAAGGTCTCCCTTTCATGCGTGGCGCTTAGTCACGGTGGTGCGTCGCTGAGGCGAACCCGCTTTTTTACAGCTGACGGATGGCAGGCGTGGTGGACAAGGTTCTGACGACAGCTGAGTCGACGCCTTGTCATGACCGTCAGGCCAAGCGGCAGGCAGATCCACACAACATCGGCCTGCTTTCAAATTCAAATTAACAATCTGCACTTTTTCCAAGAATCTACAACAACCTGTCAGCTTTGAGGATGCTTTTAACGAGAATGAGCTCATGACCCATCACTGCCTGTTAGTGGTATGTCATATTTTTGTTTCTGCCTTCGAATTAGGACGGTTTTCTGCCTTCGAATTAGGACATAGCTGCAGCCGCATTGGCAAAGTTGTATCTTTCTTGTTAAGCCATGTCCGCGTTGCGTCTCGCGAGTAGCCTCGCCACTGCTGGCAACATTCGCGGCGAGTTTGTCGCGAATCGAGTCAGCAGCTTTACAGGCAGAGTTGGCGATCCATTCTCCGTAACCGATCCAGCGAAGCTTTTCGCCCGGAATGTTACTCAGCGAGCATCGCGAAGCGTTGGCGAGAAGCCGTCCTCCGCCGTCCGCTCTTCTCGCAATTTGAAATGTGTCGCCCATGCGAACATTGTGACGACCCCTGCGACGGAGACGGCCACGACAGTGGATCCGACGTCGCCCGACTTCTGCGGCGAGGACGGAACAGTGCTCGTGCGACCGCTAGCGGACATCCAGGCTGGCGACAGGAAGGGAAAGAAGTTCCACGTGCACACCTTCGGATGCCAGGTGGGATCGTGCTATTGGTGATTTTAAGGATGCCTTGAAACGAGGCCTTTTATTCGATTTTGTTTGCAAAGTTCATTTTCGGTGCTCTAGCGTGGCGGTTTGGCCCTCTGAATCCGTTAAAGATCGTCAGAACCCTCAACCCTGCCAAATGGTTTGCTTCTCTGCCTTTCTCTCGCATTCTTACCCCAATCCCTTCCCCGTCTCCTTCCCCGTCCATTTCCCCCTTCCCGCTCCCTCCCCCCTTCCCGCAATCCAGATGAACATGGCGGACAGCGAGCGCATGGCGGGCGTGCTGGAGGCGATGGGGTACGAGGCGACGGAGGACCCGGATCAAGCGGCCGTGCTGGTCTACAACACGTGCAGCATCCGCGACAAGTCCGAGCAGAAGGTTTACTCCGCGCTGGGGCGGCAGCGCGAGCGGAGGAGGCGGGATCCGAGCATGCGCGTGGTGGTGGCGGGGTGTGTGGCGCAGCAGGAGGGGCACGCGCTGCTGCGACGCGTGCCTGAGGTTGACATTGTGATGGGGCCGCAGCACGCCAACAGACTGCATGAACTGCTGGAACAGGTGAGTGGAAGGAGGGGAATGAGGTTGGGCGCCACAGGGATGAGGTTGGGCGGCACAGGAATGAGGTTGAACGGCACAGGAATGAGGTTGAACGGCACAGGAATGAGGTTGAACGGCACAGGAATGAGGTTGAACGGCCCAGGAATGAGGTTGAACGGCACAGGAATGAGGTTGAACGGCACAGGAATGAGGTTGAACGGCACAGGAATGAGGTTGAACGGCACAGGAATGAGGTTGAACGGCACAGGAATGAGGTTGAACGGCACAGGAATGAGGTTGAACGGCACAGGAATGAGGTTGAACGGCACAGGAATGAGGTTGAACGGCACAGGAATGAGGTTGAACGGCACAGGAATGAGGTTGAACGGCACAGGAATGAGGTTGAACGGCACAGGAATGAGGTTGAACGGCACAGGAATGAGGTTGAACGGCACAGGAATGAGGTTGAACGGCCCAGGAATGAGGTTGAACGGCA